GCTGAGCTTCTCAAGGAGGCAGATCAGGGCAGAGTCAACAGAAGTCAAACATAATGCATCTCTGTGAGGAAAGTTCAGTGTCTCCATGCAGAGGGTGGAGACACTGAATGTCAGTCACACTGTGCAGCACTGCCCCAGGAAGCATCTCTAGCAGCCATCTAAAGAGTGGCCAGTTGAGGTATCCCCAGGCTGTAATGTAAACATTGCCTTTTCTCAGAATAAACAGGGTTTACTGCAAAAATCATACAGGGACTGACTATTTTCACCAGAACAAATACAATAAGCTGTAGTTGTTCTGGTGACTATAGTGTCCCCTTAACAATGTAACATTTAGCAATTAACAATGTAGCAAATCTTGTCCAGATACCTTGTTACGTAGTACAAAGTTTCTCCTGTTTGCATAGCAAAGTCCATTGAAAACAACTTAAAAATATTGTTCAAAGAGCAATGTGCTAATGATTCCTGCGGGTTAAAATACATACAAAATCATCTTCCATGATTAAAAGCTCAGCATAATGATTAAATAAAAAATATGATAGGGAAATATACACATAAATAAACCTATTTAGTGGACATGCTTCTAAAACATAGCAGTGCATATAATGCATGGACTTCTTTAATAGATGAATGTACATGTTACATACAGAAAAAATACATTATGCATGGACTTATTGAGAAAAAATACATACAGTGAGGGAAAAGAGTATTTGATCCCCTGCTGATTTTGAACGTTTGCCCACTGACAAAGAAATGATCAGTCTACAATTTTATTGGTAGGTGTATTTTAACAGTGAGAGACAGAATAACAAAAAAAAAAAAAAAATCCAGAAAAACGCATGTCAAAAACGTTATAACTTGATTTGCATGTCAATGAGGGAAATAAGTATTTGACCCCTTTGACTTAGGACTTGGTGGCAAGCACAGAGGTCAGACGTTTTTTGTAGTTGGCCACCAGGTTTGCACACATCTCAGGAGGGATTTTGTCCCACTCCTCTTTGCAGATCCTCTCCGAGTCATTAATGTTTCTAGGCTGACGTTTGGCAACTCGAACCTTCATATCCCTCCACAGATGTTCTATGGGATTAAGGTCTGGAGACTGGCTAGGCCACTCCAGGACCTTAATGTGCTTCTTCTTGAGCCACTCCTTTGTGTTTTGTGGCCTTTTATTGTGGCCAGCCAAAGGCACACCTGTGCAATAATCATGCTGTCTAATCAGCATTTTGATATGCCACACCTGTGAGGTGGATGGATTATCTCAGCAAAGGGGAAGTGCTCACTAACGCAGATTTAGACAGATTTGTGAACAATATTTGCGAGAAATAGGCCTTTTGTGTATATAGAAAAAGTCTTAGATCTTTGCATTCAGCTCATGAAAAATGGGGGCAAAAACAAAAGTGTTGCGTTTATAATTTTGTTCAGTGTGTGTGTATATATGTCATTCTAAGTGTATTTATTTCTAATATATACATAGATTAATATAAAAATACACTTAGAGTAAAATTGCACGTGTGTGTGTGTGTGTGTGTGTGTGTGTGTGTATATATATATATATATATATATATAGTGTATATATATATATTATTATAAAAAATTAATCATAATTAATAAAAAATAAATAAAAAATTTAAAAATAATAAAAACATTTTAAAAAATGTGTGTGTGTATATATATATGTAATTTTATTCTAACTGTAATAAAATATATATATATATATATATATATATATATATATATATAAATAAACTTAGAATGAATATATATATACAGTGGGACCTCGGTTTACAAACGCCTCGGTTAACATAATTTTCGGTTTCCAAATGAAAATCCATTGAAAATAATGCCTCAGTTTACAATTTTTTTTCGCAATACAAAGCAAGTTTTCCCCGGATGCATTGCACCTGGGAGGTTTATAGCACTGCCCCCTGCATGCTGGAGCTGGTGGGTAGCACGTAGCGTCCAGTGTGGAGGTGTTGGAGCGGCTTTTGCATCGAGTTCTGCACCCATTCTGAAAATTGTTTGCAGTTGTTTTGGGACTTTTTGGTGCATTTCTCAAGCTGTGGAAAGGTAGGGAGCTGAGCTTCATCGTTTGCATACCTTTTATTGTGTGTTCTGCATTGTGGGTTGGTTTCCATGCCAGCTCATAAAGACTTTTTTCTGAGCTCCAGAACGGATGAATTGGTTTTCAGTGCATTCCTATGGGAAACCGCGTTTCGGTTTACAAATTTTTCGCAGTAAGAAACGTCCCGGAGAATGCATTAAATTCATAAACCAAGGCCCCAATGTATATATATATGTATATATAAATAAAAATAATACTAAATATACATATGACCATATACAAAATTACATAAATAATTTCATAAATATACACGTAGACTTCAAATATATAAATATGTATATATATTTAAATTCTACGTGCACATTATGTAATATTTTTACATAATTAAGTAAGTTTATTGATTGCAATTTGGGGGACCTGCCTGACAACCCAGGCCGAAAGTCCAGAAAATTTAATTTGCTAACACTATATTTAAACCTGTAACTTTCCATGACACCCTAAATCCTGTACATGGGGAGGTACTGTTTTCCTCTGGAGACTTCGCTGAACTCAAATATTGTATTTCAAATATATTGTTTCAAAACAGTAAAATATATCACAGCAATGATATTGACAGGGAAAGTGACCTTTTTGCATTTTTCACACACAAACGGCACTTTCACTGATAATATTGTTTTAAATATTTTTATTGTAGTCATGTCATAAGCTTGGTTCACAAACATTTTTTTTTTATGCAGCGTGTATTTGCCTGCACAGAGGCGTGGTTCTCGGTACATTGTTATAAGCCGTTGGTCGCCTGCGGCGGACCAGAGGCAGGTTTGGCATACTTTCTGCATCATAATTTTCTGATATACATTGCGGTTTGTGCATATCTGGATGTATGCGTTTATTTTATGTAAATGTTGTGGTAGACATACAGGTATGTTTTTGAACCTCATCGTGAGCTTGTTGCGTCTAATTGGTCCCTGTGTGTTTCGCGTGTGCTAGAATTTTCGACTATTTGTCACGTCTGTTGGGATCGTGTTGTGTATGTTGCGTTTGGGTTTTACTTATGGCTTTGTGTAGTAGGTCTTTATGTGGGTGCGTGTGGCGTGTCGGGTGTCTGGGGTGGTATCTCCTATTTGGTGCCTTTTCTGTCCGCCCCAGCAGTAACCCTGCTCTTCTTGGCTTCTCGTCTTGCTTTCTGCTGTGAATTTTGTGGGGTTTGCTGGGGTCTGGCGTGTAGAGCGGTGTCTCGTGTTTCTAATAGTATTGTACCCTTGGGACATTGGTGTGTTTCCCGTCGTGTTGGCCCCTTCTACTACATCAGCCTTACATTCAGTCTGAGTGTTGGACGGGTGTGTTTGTGTGTGCGTCTGTTAACTGATAATATTGTTGTGATACGTTTTACAGTTTTGAAGCACTAATATTTGTGTTCAGCGAAGTCTTACGAGTATAACAGTACCCCCCATGTACAGGTTTTATAGTGTTTTTGAAATTTACAGGGTCAAATATAAGGCTTGATTTTCCGTTTTTTCACATTGAAATTCGCCAGATTGACTATGTTGTCTTTGAGAGCGTATGGCAGCCCAGGAATGAGAATTACCCCCATGATGGCATACCATTTGCAAAAGAAGACAACCCAAGGTATTGCAAATGGGGTATGTTCAGTCTTTTTTAGTAGCCACTTAGTCACAAACACTGGCCAAACACTGGCGTTCATACTTGTTTTTTGCATTTTTAACACACAAACAAATATAAATGCTAAATTTGGCCAGTGTTTGTGACTAAGTGGCTACTAAAAAAGACTGGACATACCCCATATTGAATACCCTGTGTTGTCTACTTTAAAAAAAACATATGTACATATGAGGTGTGATTCAGAGGTTTATGACAGATATCAGTGTTACAATGTCATGATTGATAAATGTTAAATATATATATTTTGAAACTGCAATGTCCTACTTGTACTTATAGCCCTATAACTTGCAAAAAAAAAAAAGCTAAAAACATGTAAACATTGGGTATTTTTAAACTCAGGACACAGTTTAGAAACTATTTAGCATGGATGTTTTTTGGCGATTGTACATGAGTAACAGATTTTGGGGGTCAAAGTTAGAAAAAGTATGTTTTTTAAATTATTTCATCATATTTTATAATAATTTTTATAGTAAATTATATGATATGATGAAAATAATTATATCTTTAGAAAGACCATTTAGTAGCGAGAAGAACGGGATATAATATGTGCGGGTACAGTAAATGAGTAAGAGGAAAATTACAGTTAAACACAAACACAGCAGAAATGTAAAAAGAGAAAGGTCCTTAAGAAAAGTGAAAAACAGTCTGGTCACTAAGGGGTTAATGTTGTGTATATTCTATTATGCAAGGGTCTTTTTTCTGCCTACAAAATTGACTGCAGGGGCACTCCATTTATATTTATTTATTTATTTGGAGTAAAGATCTTTGGAGTATTAATAAAAAAAATGAACATGAAGTGGGAGATTGTAACACATGAAAAATACCTGAATGAAAGGATAACCCCTAGAGGATTACTTTTTATAGGGAGGTAGATTCCTTAATTAATGGATGGAATGTGATGTTGGAAATGTTTGCTTTTTAAATAATGAAATATATAATTAAAAGAAAATTTGGCACAGTTGGATATAGAAATTAAAGAAATCCGGGAAAATATGATGTATAAAAAACATTCTAATACAAAAATGTGATGGGTTTGCTTGGAAGCAGAAAGAGAAACATTAGAAATTAAAAAAAAAAAAAAAAAATACCTGTGATACACAATTAGACCACCACACAAACACAAAATAAATTATGTTGACAATAGAAAATATCACCCCTATCATTAAGATCGGGTCAGAAATCCAACATATACCCATTAGAGATACCCCTATGTGACAAACGCTCTTTTTTACAGATGTTATCCACAAACTCCTGGAGGAGTGTTTAAGCTGGCCTCCTACCCACCGACTATGGACCAGGTTGGAGACCCCGTTCAAGAGTTACCCTGCCCAGCCACCATTAGCAACTTTCCCTCATGGCCCTGGTCTGGCACTTTCCCTTCTCTGGAATGGAACCGAACGCTAGCTCCCTGGCGGCCGTTCGCATGAACAAACCCACAAATGGTCCTCAGTGGGACTTAGCCACGGCCGCTATGGAACTTTTGCTGTAAGCACTGTCTTTTCAGAGAAAAGGACCAGGTTGGAGACCCCATTCGAGAGTTACCCTGCCCAGCCGCCATTAGCAACGTTCCCTCATGGCCCTGGTCTGGCACTTTCCCTTCTCTGGAATGGAACAGAACGCTAGCTCCCAGGCGGCCGTTCGCATGAACAAACCCACAAATGGTCCTCAGTGGGACTTAGCCACGGCCGCTGTGGAACTTTTGCTGTAAGCACTGTCTTTTCAGAGAAAATGCAGTGTTTACATTACAGCCTAGTGATAACTTCACTGGCCACTCCTCAGATGGCTGTTAGAGATCCTTCCTGGGTCATGGCTGCCTAAAATGTATCCAAACATTCCGTATCTCCTCCCTCTGCATGCAGACACTGAACTTTCCTCATAGAGATTAATTGATTCAATTCATCTCTATGAGGAGATGCTGATTGGCCAGGGCTGTGTTTGAATCATGCTGACTCTGCCCGGGATCTGCCTCTTTGTCAGTCTCAGCCAATCCTATGGGGAAGCATTCTGATTGGATCAGGCCACCACTTCTGATGATGTCAACAGGCAGGTTTTTTTTTAGGCAAACAGCATGCAGAGTTACAGCTTCAGGCTTAAATACAGTAAGATTTTGCTATATTTATGGAAGCATGAGGGGTCCGTGGGGACTAGATGGCTGTAGGGCTTGTGTTCCTGACCATATAGTGATCCTTTAACTTTTGCTGCTAAACATCTTTCATCTGCGAGACTATGAGTTCTCTATCACTTCCTGATGTCCACTTCTTGTGGAGATATTTCTGTTTGTAAGTGCATGTATCCATTAAATTGCTTTCTGTGACACAGTATTTCACTATTTTCTATTTTCTATTATTTCTTGTACATCACAAGAGGTTCCATAATGCAGGTTATGTATTGGATATACCTGCCAAGGAGAGATGTGCCTACGTTTTCTTCCTGCCCCTTCCCCCACTTTTTGTATCAAGCTATATGACACTATGCTGTGTTTGTTTTTCTCCTAGATTGCAATATATATTATTTATAGTATCTGATTCACCAGGTTGCATATTCATATTATTTGATCCACTCCTATGTAGAGCTTTCCTTTTTTTATAAATATTTATATATTTTCACGTGTATGTATATTTTCAGTTCTGTATGTTTTATAGGATGTTAGTGAGACACTTTTTGGTGACTTCTTGCTCCTGTCCTTTTATGGCCGATATTATTTTGTAGGATCATGTTTTATGCTCCCAAAGGCCACCAGAAGAATATACAGCTGGTCATCATTATTTATTCATGTTCTCAGCATGAAGATACACTGTTACATATTACTTTCTGTGACTACCCATATATTAAGTGTTTGTTTGGCTTGTGAATATATCCAGGTTGCCGGGGTGATGTGTTTGAAACTCTGTTTATTTGGATATTCAATTATTATTTTTTAATTTCCCTTAAAATTCATTTCAAGGAAATTATTTTAAAATGTTTCTAATAAAGCAGAAACATTCTATCCTTGGAGTGTTGGTGCTGTCTATATCGGATATATGTGATATGCTGACATGTACACTGACCCTCCAGCCCAGCTTCACTCTCAGACGGGGAAAATGTCCATGTTTGGATCATCTGTGTGCAGTTCAGAGCCCTAAAATCCAACAGCTTAGTTGGAGTCTCTCTACTGAGAGGTAGCTGGCACTATTTCAACTTCTAGCAGTAAAAAAGTCTATTTAACCCCAACACATCACCTGCAATAATCTTTAACCCCCTACACTAATCAAACATTAAAAACAGTTCTGAATTCCTACATTACCCGAACCTTTCACTAACCTAACACTAACTCTTACCCTAACTCTTCACTAACCTAACACTAACTCTTGCCCTAACCTAATGCTAACTTTTGCCCTAACTACACTGACCTAATGCTAACTCTTGCCCTAACCCTACAGTGACCTAACGCTAACTCTTGCCCTAACCCTACAGTGACATAACCTAATGCTAACTCTTGCCCTAACCCTACAGTGACCTAACGCTAACTCTTGCCCTAACCCTACAGTGACCTAACGCTAACTCTTGCCCTAACCCTACAGTGACCTAACGCTAACTCTTGCCCTAACCCTACAGTGACCTAACACTAACTCTTGCCCTAACCCTACAGTGACCTAACACTAACTCTTGCCCTAACCCTACAGTGACCTAACACTAACTCTTGCCCTAACCCTACAGTGACCTAACGCTAACTCTTGCCCTAACCCTACAGTGACCTAACGCTAACTCTTGCCCTAACCCTACAGTAACCTAACGCTAACTCTTGCCCTAACCCTACAGTAACCTAACGCTAACTCTTGCCCTAACCCTACAGTGACCTAACACTAACTCTTGCCCTAACCCTACAGTGACCTAACGCTAACCTAACGCTAACTCTTGCCCTAACCCTGCAGTTACCTAACACTAACTCTTGCCCTAACCCTGCAGTTACCTAACACTAACTCTTGCCCTAACCCTGCAGTTACCTAACAGTAACTCTTGCTCTAACCCTACAGTAACCTAACACTAACAGTAACTTAACGCTAACTCTTGCCCTAACCCTACAGCTAACTCTAATGTCTACCTGAACACTACCTAAGCTTAACACACTCACCCTAGCCTGAAAATATTGTGATTGACAATCACTAGAGGCATATAAACCCTGCAATGTAAACATTTAAACCCTGCAATATGGCAATATATTTACAGGAATAAAATGGGAAGAACATGGCACCCAGACCACTTCACTGAGATAAAGTGGTCTGAGTGCCTAAAGTATCCCTTTAAATATTCCACTAAAATGGGTAAAATGTTTAATGGTCTGTATCATTAGCCACTAATATTACCAGTGGATTTTAATGGTAATTATTGATATCCAATGTAATGTCAAATTATGTGTATTTTAATATTTTATTTTATATTATTTTTATAGAAGGTTTCTCTCTGTACTGGCTACTATTATTAATCACTAATATCAGTAATAGCTGTTGTATGTAAATAATTTATGTTTTATTCAGACAAGGCAGACACACTTTGCTCCTAATGCGCTCTAGTGTAATAATTAATTTTTTATAGCGTACATTAATGGCAGACATAGTACCTTTAGATTTCACAGTAACAATGGAAGCTGATACGCTTATAGGAGACATTAGGAAACGTCAGCATGTTAAATAAGAACAAAGATAATGAATAATAATGAGTATAATGCTTCCTTAATACATCCGATTACCTGGGTGCAGTGTCTGAATCTTAGAAAGCTTAGCTGTGTCTGTCTGCAGTTATTATCAAGCTTGGGGGATGTGAAGATGTAAGGGGCCCAGAGTTTAAGGGTACAGGAGGATGTCATACAGGTGGCCTACTGTGATCTATTAAAGGTCAAAGGGAAGCTCCCAATTCGTTTTTAAAAATATTGTTTTTATTTCTTTGTCTTCTTGTTTAGTCAAGTGACAAAATGTACCAATCTGCTGTTAATTCACCCAGAAAATAGCAAGCAGGTAGACATAGCATGTTTCCATCCCCCCTGAATTACTATCAGTCAGCACCACCACTTAGTAAGCCACTGCTCTGAATTCGCCTTCCTGTTTCAGGTTATTTCTAAATGTGATTGATAGGTTTAATTCTGAGATTTTACCCACATTTAAAATTCAGAGACACGTTTGAACCTTATTCAAGACCCCCGACTGTACATTAATGACAGAACTCAATAAAAACATACGTTTAAAATAAAAGAACAAATAATGTTACCTGTACTATGCCAAATCCCTAAGCATATTTAAATAACTTGAGGTTTTTAATATCAACCTAAGAGGTTTTCCTTGACGTGGCAGGTGAGCTTACAATCTAATGGTCATCGGAGTGATACTAAAAACCTCCAGTTATTTAAATGTGCGTAGGGATTTTGGGTAGAGTGCTGGTAACATTTTGAGGTGTATTATAGTCATTGCTGACACTAAAAATAGCAGCAGCAGTTTAAGCCCAGCGTTTAATTTTATATGTTTTTAAATCTAAAATAACT